TATTTCCTCTTCAGAAACGTTTCAAACAACTCGAGAATTGTTCTCACCCCAATTGGCTACCTTTGCGTCAACGGCATCAAGTTATGTTGATATCAGTGTTCAAAGTTCAGATACCTCGTCTCCATATGAAAGCAGTAAACTTTCAGCTGACTTATTTTTAATTTCATCAACTGTTTTTGTGAAGGAAATCACAGAATGGTCAGCTCCACCAAGTATTACAACAGTTACACGAGTTCATCAACAGTCATTTGTGACCAATTTAGATACATCAAAACCACAATCATCGTTTATAGAAGAAACATATACATTTGGTCAACAGTTTACTTATTCTAGGTCTTCATCGGGAAGTATTGGATCCCGCGAATCGGCAAAATTATCTAGTGAACAGATGACTAATGCAGGCCCAGAATCTTCATTGGGAATTACTGGATCCACCCACTCCACATATATATCTAGTGAACAGTTGACTAATACAGACCCAGAATCTTCACTGGGAATTACCGTATCCGTCCGACCTACACCACAGGGCACTCCAAAACTTGAAGCTTCTTATACAACATTACTGGGTTCAAATTCCGATAGAAGTTTCGCGCACCGATCTACCGACAGCGTAACAAAAATACTCTCTACTCCTGCCCTTGATCCACAGGCAGAAACCGACCAAATTATGATGACCATCACGCCCACTACAGAATCTACTGTGGGTAATAATTCAATAGGATTTGTTACGTCTCCAATCACTGAATTACAGTCTTCACAAAGTTATTTAGCAGGTAGGTAAGAGGTATTCAGTGTTGATGATAGTGGTATCTTCGAATCATTTCTGTATTTTGATGATTTCAACTAGTTAAAACCCATCACTGATCAATCTTAAAAATGGGAAATTTGTTTGATCCGACAGTTGCTCATATAATGCACTACCACAATTAATGAAATATAGTTGGTCGATTTTTCTCATTGAAATTGAATCCACCATATTATTATCCGTAGTATTTAAATCAACCGCGCAATGATTACATTAGTCTCTTCGGTGGCAGAAGATGCCTACCTGAAGTCTAACCCCTGCATGCAATGGGAGTATTGGATATAATCAAGAATCGATAAAGTTAAAAATTTTGGAGTCACTAAAGTGCATATTCCTGAAGCAATTGCCCGAGAAATACCTCTCTGGCCATTGCTGGATTGGCCTCTGATACAGCAACATGACAGTCCTTCGTTGGGGGTCTTCTCTAAATCTTTGGACAGTGATTTAAGGTATTAAAAACGGTGAAAGTATTGTTCGTCTCCAAACAGTATTGTTTACATTGTATCCGTTTTAATAGCCTCGTTTGTCACGCAATTAGTTTTCTGCAATATTCTGCTATGCACTGGTTAATTGGGCGTAATAAAATCGGGAGTCATGACGTAACGTTATGTAAACATTGGTCCAATTAGGAGCTCTGTTTAAAGCGTAATGATAATGTTACGCAGTTAGCTATTGGTTGTTAGTCGGACTATTGACCAGTCATAATTTGGAGCAGAAATGTTCTTCCATTACAGGTGTGTTAAGTGGCATTAGATATAATCAAACGAAACACTGCGAGGAGTATGTTAAAATGGGGCTTTAGATAAACCCATAGCTGTACATTAATTAAATATCGTATTTTAATTTATAGAGTCGGTTTCCATTACGAATTATCAGTACATCATATTTGTAATAGGCAGCATAGTCACTTTTGTAGTAGCCATTAGTGTCATGATCTGTATCGTGAAGAAATATTTAAAGGTAAGCGGATTTTAATATCTCCCACCCACACAATAATAATTGGTCATGTTAGATATTCAAAAAACAAAAATGAAATGGGGTTTAGCGTCCCGTAGTTCTGCTCCGACTGATGAATACGGATATACGCCATACAGTGTGCTATGAGGGTAATTACGGGATATTTTACGTTCACGTCACAAACGACTATAGAACCTCTGTCTTGCACCACTTTTAGTCCTGAATATTTTTGGCTTAAATAAAGAAAGTTTATACTTGAATGTCCGTAAGAATGACCCCCAATAATTTTAAAATATTTATTTTCAGACAATGGTGTCTCCTCCGCATGTAGATACAACCACATCACCAGCTAGTACCTGTACAGATGCATGATTCACCATCGCGATGTTTAGATGCAACGTGAGATACACCCTAAGAGCTACTTAAAATTGGCATGAACGTATCCGATAGGAGTGTACTTACTTGTGGAGAATCTGCTCCCTTTGATGTGGAATGATGACTGTTGATATCGTTTGACACATCTCACGTCACACTTTTGTACCTGCATGCCTCGATCCAATCGTCGACTTCATCATAGTTCTTTGAAAGCAACGACGGGCGGTAATAGTCACGAATTCGAATCTCAAATTTCCCCAAGTTCAAGATCATGTTTCCTGAAGCTTTCCATTCCTTGTGCTGTGGATTCTTCAAAATGGTGGCCATATGACAAGTCAACTACAGAACAAACCTATAGTTTCGTCGACCTATTTTTAACGCAAGGACGTGGACGACATTAAAGCTATGTCCGTTAGATCTTCTGCAGTTTTTGAAGTGGTGTTGAAACTTAGGGGATGGGTTACGAGTAAGACTTCTTTGTTTGTTTATTTGTAGTTCATAATAATAGTTAATATATCAGAATGACTATCCACATTTACAAATATATTCATTGATGATTAATTGAGAGGGGTTCACTAGTCCGCGGGTTCACTAGTCCGCCGCTTTAAGAAATGCTATAAACATGGGTATCAAAAAACATAATCCGAACCCTAACCCTGATAATAGATATTGGTGGACTAATGAACCCGCGGACCAGTGAATATTCCCCGAATAATTAATGACAATATTAATATTTAATGACTGGTCGGACCAAAATCGTGGGCGAAATGTCTATATTTTTCTTAGACTGTGTCTTATAATTTGTATTAATGTTCTTGTTGGTCAAATTTGAAATCAAACCCACGATAATTTATTGTGTATGCATATAATGTATTACCCTGAATTCTAAGATGACAAATACCAACACTTGTAACATAGAAATTCTTTAATCTAGAAAAAAAGAGGACCGATGGCGCCATGGACCAAAGTGGACTGTTCCTGATTCATAGTATCATCTCTAGAATCACTGGTAGATGTTAAATGTAATTTAATCCAAATACTGTCTAATATTTTATGGTTTGAGTTGGAACAATCGTTGGGTAGAATAACATTGTTTATTACCAAATTAATCAATATGTACACTCAAAGCCATTAAAAACGCAATGCCTAATTCGTGAAATAATTAGGGTTAAGGTTTTTTTTTTGGGGGGGGGGGTGGTTATCTTATGGCACATAAGTGAATCTTGTGATGGGTCTCTTTTTGAGTTCTGGGTTTGAACTCAATATCAGTTCTCGGTAATGAGCTGTGTTCGTGCAAACGCAACACTTGTCTTTTTCACGATTTAAGCAGTCCCATGTCACACGGTTTGCACGTGCATTCCCTGCAATCTGCCCCTTTAAATACAGATCAAAATTTCAAAATTCATCATTTCGGAAAAATGCCACGCCTTACACAAGAAAACAGGAACAGAGCTATTGGCATGTTCGATAAGGGGGCTTAACAGGTAGCCGTCGCCCGACACTTTAATGCCCACCCATCGACCATTGCTCGCCCCAGACAACGCTTCCACGCCACTGGAAGAGTTGCCGATCGACCCCGACCTGAAGCGCCACCTGTAACAACCGCTGCTCAAGATCGCCACATCAGACTACAGCATCTGTGCAACAGGTTCCAGTCAGCTACTGCTACTACCAGGGAAACTGTTGGAACATCAGATCATACCAAGGTCAAATCCTTTTGCAGCAATGGGCCGCAAATCAGGGGTATCTGCACAATACACCATGGCGAAATGTGATCTTCCCAGATGAATCCCGATTCCACCTCATTTTTCCTGATGGACGTCACCGTATCTACCGACGTCGACATGAACGCTTTGCTCGTAACTGCGTGCTGGAAAGGGATCGTTTCGGGGGAGGTGACGTCATGGTTTGGGCTACTATCAACGTCACAGGTACTCCAAAATCATTGGCAAGCAATCCCACAGTGTAGTGCCAGTCCATGCCAAGGCGACTTCAGGCATGTGTAAGAGCTCAAGGTGGACATACCTGATATTGATTTCAGCTGACCCCTGCTTTGTTTCATGGTTCTCTGACGTTTCGGTTTTGTGCATTTGTAGTGAATTATTTCATGAAATTATCCACAGATGCTTGTTATCTCGATTTTGTCAATTGTTATATGTACATTTGTTGCAGTATGGCTTTCAGTCATGCAGACTATGTACAATAAATAAAGAGAATTTTTAATTTAAATAACAAATATAATATCGATATTTTTACAATAAATAAAGATGCATCGTGTAATAGTTAGTTGCTCAAAACTAAGTTATTTTAATGATCCGTTAAACCCTAACCGATCGTTATAGACTAACGTGTCGTTTGTTAACAGTCCGTTAAATTTCTGTTGCTGGAAAGTCAGTTCCATTATCCGTTAGCTAAATCCAAGAGAAGACTGTTTGTTTATTGGTTGAATTTTAAAATTTTAAATTCAATGTACATGTATAACAACTTCATAGAAGTTAGTATTAACAAGAGACAGTGGGACAACTGCAGTCTGTTCACAAACCTGATTAAAGACAAATAGATAACTGCAGAATTCACTATAGAAAACACTATAAAACGATTATAGAATACTCTATTTTTTTCCGTTTGAAATTTTAGCATAAATATGTTGGAACATTTATGTGATTTGCACCACAGAAACTGCAGAATATTTGGGGTCATAATTTCTTACAGGCCCCCCAAATTCTGTAGAATGCTATAGAATTTCATCCTATAGAAAAGGGAATAGCACAACCCTCTAGAATGTTATATAGAAACCGGGTGATGCAGGTGTCAGCCAGATTTTGAGTTCACAAAGCATTCTCAGACTTGAGGTTTGCCGAGTGATAATCACGAATCATAAAAAGCCCAAAAGAAGAATGGACAAGCTGCATGTAATAACCACTCTACTACTTTTAACAGCAACAGGTAAACTTCGTTATCGTTATTTTGGGGAATGTGATTGGCGTATTGCTTTTAAAACGTTGTCCTTTGTCGCATTATATTCGATATAGCCTATAGGCCCTATTTGTTTTTTTGGTACATTCATTTAAATTTATATTCACCGAAATTCTTTCAATTTTTCAGTTGTGAATACTACAAAAATAATTATTACTTCATCGTCGTCATTTCGAAATGGGGACGAGTCGTTAACCATTTTTTGTGAGGTGTCATCTAGACTTGGATTGGATAAAATCACAAATATCCATCTTGAAAGAGGTTCTGTATTTCTTGGATCAATTGATGAAAACGGCACAAAGATGGGATGGAAAAAACGTTCGTTTTCATATGAAATTTTCGGCGAATTTCACCCCTCTTCCCCTACACGTTCCTATCTACAACTGGTTATTAGGAACCCCAGTACCGAAGATCAAGGCACCTATGAATGTACAACAGTCGGCCTGGAAGTAAAACATATAACGGATACTCAACGACAGTATGTCAGACTCGAAGGTACGTAAGAGTTTAATTGCTAATCGATATCAAGGGAGTTATACGTTTGTGGCACTTCGTAACTAAGCAACCGAGGTAAACCGAGGTAATCGAAAGTAAAAATTAAATAAGGGTTTCCGAAGAAAATGTTCATGGATGCAGACCACCAAATATGCACTCATTTGGGTATGGATATAGTTTTGTTCTATTGAAATGATGTTTAATTGGACGACAGCACCAACCGGGATATATTGCGCCAAACATGGTGATATAAAAAGACGAGATAAATATGTCTACAGTATATTTATATACAATAAAACAACATATCGCAGATTAGTAAATAAAATTAAAAACAAATATCATTATCACAAGTCCTTTATGTAGATAAATATTTAAAAAGTAACAAAAATATGATCATATATAAATATTATGTACAATTAAAATTTACAATACAAATTTGTCTCCTTTATAGTAGCTAAGTCTCTAACTCAATATCATTCAAAGTCTTAGACATTGAAAACACGAATTATTTGTCAAGTTGGGCGTCTGATGTCCAGTATTTACGACAAAATAAACATTTTACCATTGGTACATGAATCGTGTATCATAATGCGTTTCAGTGCTATTTGTAACAGGCTAGACATATTCCACAAGTCATGTCAAACGATTACTTCATATTCTTATCTGGAGAGCATGCGCAATAAATACTATCGGTCTAGACTGGAATAACCAAACGCTAGAGATTGCCGTTCGAATGAGACTTCTGGCGTATTTCGCCAAACATAACTGTTTAGAAATTAGAGTTAATTTAAACGATTGAATGTAAATCAATTTATATGTACATTCATATTACATTATTATATGCGTTGTGACCCATGTGTGTCAATTACTACATCCCAAATATTAGCGATTGAGCCCCTTTAAAATAGTACGCAGACTGACTCTAATTTTATGAACGGTGTAAGTTAATATCATGATGTAAGGTTATATTTCTTCAGGATTTTGTGGTAGAAGACTCCACCTTGTCTAAAAATAAATATTTCACTTTGGAGTTTTAGATTTATTGATGAATATTATTCGTAATATTGACACATACCTTTTACAATACCTTAAAAATGATGTTTACAACTGACGTTCATATGGGGTGATTCAGGATCATCCTAAAGTGGCCAATATAGATATGTTCTCACATCTTCTTCTAAACCACTTAATGGTGTTTTAACTCGTTAAAATCGTAAATGAGAACATTTTCGGAAAATCATGGTTATTATAACTGAATTATTTATAATATTAATTTATGCTTATACACATATTTTGTCTCGTTCTCTCTCCTTGATCTAATAGTTCTTGTGGGTAGGTTTTAATAAATCTACACAATTCGCTAGTGTATTAGATAAATACATACATGTTTTGGGAGCTGAATTTGATTAGGATAAATAGCAGGATTTTACTAACATTAACAATCAACAATTTCAGCTGTTATTCATATTCCGTCTACAATAATTTTCATTTCTACAGCCTGTGAAGTTGAATTTAGCTAAATACATTGTGGCCACTGTCTTGGTCATACGGTTTGCAAACGATGCTTCAAATGATACGCTACTATTGAGTGTTTTTGTTTTGTTTTCGAGGCTGTTATATTATATTAAAAATTCAGGTTAAATCTTCAACACCCCACAACGTCATATACTGTAGTTAAGATCATTTAACACGCGACGACCAAGTCAATCCTACTTAAGCTTTATCTTGTTCTAAATAAATCAGCATTGATATTCATTGTTTTTTTCAGATTCAGGAAGTACAATCTCAGAAAGTTCTATTACAGAAAGGCATGTCACATGCAGTGCTGTGTCATCCTGGTGTGTTATATATCAAACCTTTCAAGTATTTACCTTGACGGGATTCTTGATACTATGCAATAATATTGTATATTGACCGGATACTTGATATTACATTAATATTGTATTGACCGGATAGACAATATGCTCATTTGACAATGCTATAGACTGGTACCTCTTTGCTGTATTGACTCTATGTTTAGTTGCTGATCATTTAACGACACCTTTGTGTTCAGTTAAAATTCGTTTTTACTTTTTTACTCATGGATTTGGAGTTAGTCTGTGTTGTGAATGGAATCCTTTTCGTGTTGAATTGACTTAACCACCTCATTTAAACAAAATATTTAAGTCAGACAACTGAAAAGAATACACAGGTCACAATTCTATAATTACCGCTTATTGCTGTTGATTTACTAAATGCCATTGAAACAAATCAACTGAAATGAGGTAGTTAGCTTTTCATGTAGTACAGGTCACCAATATTAAACCGGAACATAGTAAATATCCATAAAGGACAATATTCTACATTGTATAAGACAAACTGGTGGATGAGGTAAAGAGTGCTTTGGATCGATTGAAGTCGCCTGTCCGACCCTGTGTTTTTTTTCTGAGCACTATTTATTTAGCACCAAACCATCTGATTAAAACACAAATCATTTTCAGTTTCGTTTTTTACAGTTCAAAACTGCGTTTACTGCAGTAGGATCTGAAATAATTGAAACATGTGTTCTGGTTGATATGAGGGGTGAGCCAATCAAATGGTCTGTTGAGTGAGTTCCCGTGGGTAGACATTCGCAGCGGTAGAAAACAAATCAAAGCACAAGTTGTATTTCCGAATACCCATTTGATACACCAAGTTATTTATTTAAAATGTATCTCATTTTATTGTTTTTTGTGCTTGCTTTAAATATTTTTAGCTAAACTTGTGGTGTCACCAAAAGTGTTGTAGCCAGTGCACATATGACACATTTATTACTCTGTTCTTTCAAACATTAGATTAAAGGAATCATCCCGATTTTATCAGAGTCTCAGAAATAAAAGTTCGTGTACGTATGAAATAAGCGCCAAAATATAGAGAAATGGTGAATTTACCTCAGCTCAAAATATCAAGTCGTTTGGGCAAGAACGTCAAAACCGCTTATCGGGTCAGGTAACCCTTTTAAGATTTCGGTTTAAAGTTTGGTTTTATCCGGACACTGTATAATACAGCTTAGGACACCGTTATCCATTCCCAGATGAAGACTGACGGGTTTAAGTTGTTTAAAAAAGTTATCACGTATATTGAGTTAGTTGCTCGGCCCTAAGGTATAGGATTTTAAGGGCTTTTAACACAAAATTAAGCAGTTTTATTCTCCAAAATATAATCGAGGTTGACCCTTTAAAACACATTCTGTCAAGGACTTGGGAAACAGTTCTGTCCCAATCCATATGAGCAGGTGACTATATTTAACAGATCGCCACCCAGTTAATGCTAGAGCAACAAACTCCTTTGTTTTATTCTTTCGATTTATACCTTGCGTATGCATAATTATTCTTCTGCAAAATTGTCATTTACAAACTACTTTGTGGTAATGACGACACTGAAGATGAATTCCATTTTGTCCTGAAGTGTCCTGTTTAAAAAATCGATCAGAGAACAATACCTTAAACGGTATTATTTTGTAAAAACTTCGGTATGTAAACTTACCCAGTAGTTCGCATCAAACAAAGTAAAGGTTTTGAACAATCTGGTTAAATTTTTAAAACAGGCTTTGTGTGTAAGAGAAAGTTTACTTACGGTTCGGTAGCTGATTATATTATTATTATTGTTCTCAATGACTCTGTATGATTGTGCCATCGATGCAATGTATATTTTCTTTATTTATATGCCGTAAGGCATTTGATCTCGAATAAAATAGTTTACAAAATTTGTTACTCGTAAATTTTGTAATAGTAATATATTAATAAAAACGGGTTCTCCCTTTTCCCCTGTTTGCAAGGCGATTTTTATTGGCGTTTGGTGTAAATAGTAACGGATTACGACGCATAGGAGTCCTAACGCACTCGGGGGCCCCTGGCCAGCTACCCTCCCAATATTTATTGGCTTGACTAATTTCTGACTAAAGTTGCACCTTCAATGTTCAATAATGCTAAATTATATATATAAAAAAACAAAACAAAACAACATATAGCAATGATGTGTTCAATTTGCGTTTTAGCTTTAAAAGTTTCAGCATGTTAATGAGAGTCACCTCCGACAGAGAGTCTGTGGTATTCCATTGGAACCATTCATCTGTAACAGATCTCCTAGATTGTTTCAATAAATGAAATGGGTTTTAACGTCCTACTATTATGCATCGGCTAGGCTAATGAAGACCGGGGTTTCAATAAAAGTCAACGACTGATTAAAACATTCAAATAAAAAGGTAAGAGCCTAAATTTAGTTGACTCACAGGCCTATGTGTAGGTAGGTCTTTATAATTTTTGTAGTAGTTTGTGGGGTTCTTTTTGGTAGTGAATTTAGGTCGTTTTTGATGAATAGGCACATAGTAATGCACCATGGATAATCCGCCGTCGGGTGTAGAATCAACGAAAAGGATTTGAATTTACATTTTCTGCCAGGTTTGTGTGAATATTCATGAGACGGAAGGATAACATAATTGAGAGGTTGCTTAGCGGGTACGTTGAAATGTCGGGCGGTGTAATGTCCAAATTATTGCATTCGGTATTTATTAGTTATTTGACAATGTGATTGAAATGTGAGTTACTCGTGTACAATTTCAGTAATGAGAGTCTAATTGACCTAGTCTTTATTTCTTAAAAAGATGTCATTATTGTATAATCGCGTCTATTGTCTTGGTGATTGTTGATAATTATGGGATGTGACCGAAGCTTGGTGTGGCGGGCGGGCAAGAATGTCCCCGCCGGCTTCGAAACCGTTTTTGTGGTAAATATGTGAATCGTGAATTAAACTTTTGTGAATATGATCAGTGAATCCCCGTGAACATTTTGTGAGCAGTTAATTATGTGGTGAACTCTTAATTTCTGTAATTTAGTCATTCTAGTGAACACGTGACTTTCTTTCGTGAGTAATAATTGGTGAACTTTTCATATTTAGGCCTATATGATTACGTGAATCCTGAACTAAGATGTTTTATATGTTTGTCATTTGTCTACTGTAAACTGTAATTTGTTGATCAATACATTGACATTTATTATTTAAAATTGGTGTTTTCTTATGGTGTCGTATACAGTAAAAGATTTACGAAAGTTGCAAAGCTGAAAGGGACAACCTTACCTTGAACCACTACACCAGCACCACAACAGGCGCGTGAAAGGTCGAAACGGAATCTTGCCCACGACCACGTCACCCATATTAGTGAAAAACGCTCTAAAATTTGTTACTTTCGTGTATCTTTTTCTGTTGTTGACATCATTTTATGTGGCAGTGAATTACAAAATGTCTGTTGATAATGGTGAAATCGGTCAAACTTTGCAAAATAATCAGCTACAACGTGATGGTTTGAATAATGTCAATGATTGAATGAAAGTTTAGACAATGAAAATATTGTCCATCTCGACAATATGAACGATCCAAATGAAGGAGATGAAGCCGGTAATGTCCCAAATGGGGCCGGTGCAGCATTTGTTCAGTGTTCAGAATGAAGAAAGTATTAACAATGGTAATAGATCTAATAATAATGATGTGCCTGTTATTATGCCCGACGACAGTATATCAAATGTGTCTGCAAGATCAACAAAGTCAAAAACTTTCAGAATGAAGTCGAAGAACATTCAACGTGAAATTGAATTAAGTTACGAGTTAGCGGCCTTGAAAGAAGCTAATGTGTTAGAGCAGGGAAAGTCTGAATGACAGCGGAGAACTGATGAGCTAAATAGAAGAACTGATGAGCTAAATAGAAAACAAAAGGAAATAAGTTTGAAAGCCAAACTTCAAGCGATAAAAGATGTATACTTAACATTTGAACAAATCCGTCGTGGTAAAGAATCAGATTCTGAAGTAACATTCAAGAACCCCCTACTGAAATTGACAGCACACCCCCACCCCAAATACACCAGTGAACACATTGGTGCACCCTAGATCTGTAAATTCTCCTAGTGAAACCGTGAATGAACCTAATGGAAGTATTCAACAAACTTTTAGAAAATCAAAAAGGTCAAAGCTTACCGTCCCAGGACCTCAAACCCTTTGACGGCATAAGATTTTGTTATATCAAACATTCATTAAAAACTTTGAGCTTGTTATTGAGAAGAATACAAGTAATCCAGAACAGCGTTTAGAATTCTTACTAAAGTATACATGTACCCGAGGTGAAGCACACGATTTGATCAGATTTTGTCCTTTAATTGAGCCTGCTAAACAAGGTTATGTATGGGCTAAATCTTTACTGCAGAGAGATTATGGTGACCCCCTCTTATTGCATCTGCTTTCCTTAGTAAAGCAGAAAACTGGACAAAAATACAGTCTGGTGATAAAGTTGTGAAATGAATAGCATGGGTGGATTTGAATTTATAAAGACATTGTGTTCAAAACTCCCCATACCTTTACAACGACAGACGATTGCAAAAGTAGGTAAAATACATGAATGTGAATCTAGATCCCCAACCCTGTGCGACTTCGAAAACTTTGTAGGTCTTATATCGAGAAATGAAAATGACCCTAGAATTAGCGGGTTAGGCTATCAGTACAGATCACAACAGAACCAAGCCCAATCTTTATATAATTTAAAGAAACCAACTGCAATCGCAAAGAAAGCCTTTAGTACACAATTAAAAGAAAACTTGGCACTTAAGCCAGTGCCTTGTTTATTATGTGGACCAAATACATTTCATGGACTTTCAATCTGTAGGAAATTTGGATCATTAACAACGGATCAGAAATCGGAAACTGTGAGGAAATTAGGTTTATGCTACGGATGTCTTAATCCGGGACACTTAAAATCTAAAAAGTGAAAACCCTGAGTGGGCAAAATGTCAGAAATGTCAAAGATTTCACTCAACCATACTACATGATTCAAGTAAAGATATACGCAGACCACAATATCAGTACAGTGGACCTGAATCTGTTAATAAAACTGAACCAAAACCTTCTGTATCTTCTGGTTGTGGAAAAGCGAACATTTTGGACAGCGGTAATCCTTTAATGGCTATTGTTCCAGTAAAACTGAACGCTAAACTCAGTGATATCATTATACAAACCTATGCCTTTGTCGATAATGGGTGTAGTGCTCTATTTCTAGACTCTATTCTTGTGAATGCCTTAAAGTTGCAGTGTAAATCAACACACGTTATGTTGAAGACCATGAACTTAGAAGAGACAATTAAAACGCCTTTGGTAATTGATGTGCTGGAGATCAGTGATTTTAAAGGTGACAAATTTTTAGATTTACCCCAAGCTTATGTGAAAGATAAATTGCCTGCTTCAGTATCCGATGCCCCCAAACAAATTGACTTGGAAAACTGGAAGCATTTAAGAGGTATAACTCTACTTGACTTAGCACCCGATGAATATTGTATCCCAGAAGTGACCATAATGATAGGAATAAACTTCCCAGCCGCAACCATACCGTTGGAAGTTGCTGTTGGTAATATAGGAGAGCCATATGCAGTGAAATCACCCATTGGATGGTTATTTTATGGACTTCCTGGTAAATTAAGTGATCATGTTTCTAATACTGTGAATGTTAGTTATTGTCGATTGGATGATAATTTAGAAGCTCAAGTGAAGAGGTACTTCAACTTGGAATTTGGTGAAAAATTATCTGAAGATAAGAAACTTTCATCTGTGGAGGACAAACAGTTCCTGAATATCATGGATAATTCCATAAAGTTAGTTGACAATCATTACATTACAGATCTGCCATTTCGTGATAGGACTATTTGTATGCCAAATAACAAACTACAGGCAGAAATGTTTGCATATAGGCTTAAAAGGAGATTAACTGCCAATAGTACACTGCGTGAACAGTACACAGAATTCATGACCAATTTAGAAACCAAGAATTATGCCGAAAAGGTCCCGAAAAACAAAATTAATAGAAGTGACGGAAGAGTATGGTTTATTCCACACCACAATGTTAGCCATCCTCGCAAACCAGACAAAGTGAGAGTTGTCTTCAATTGTCCTTTAATATTTGACGGTGTTTCGTTAAATTCGCTGTTATTACCCGGTCCTGATTTAACAAACAAACTTTTAGGAGTTTTATTAAGATGGCGACAAGACATTTATGCATTTATGGCAGACATTGAAAGTATGTTTTACCAGGTACGTGTGAACAAGTTTGATTGTGACATGATGAGATTTCTATGGTGGCCTGGTGGTAACATAAACACAGAACCTGTGCAGTATTGTGTTCAGAGTAGAAAACCTACACTGTCATCGAAATGTACGCGACGAAACATTATCTGCTATGTCGTCTGTGTATGATCCTTTGGGTTTCGCGTCCCCCTTTGTTTTAAAAGCTAAAATGATCTTACAGGAACTGTGTCGTGAAAAACTTTCATGGGACGAACCTACATGTATTCCTTATGCACAACAAATTCAGTGGCAAAATTGGATAAACATATCAGTCGAACGTTGTATAAAACCAAAGAATTTTGGAAAAATCAGTAATATCCAGTTACATCATTTTGCAGACGCCTCAAGTGATGGTTACGGTACAGCAAGTTACGTTAGATTTGAAAGTGAAAATGATGAGGTAAGCTGTGCGTTTCTACTTGGTAGATCATGTGTCGCTCCATTGAGACCGCATACGATCGTGAAATTAGAATTGTCTGCGGCTACTTCCATTGTTAGAATAAACAGCATGTTGATGTCAGAACTCACAATTCCGGTGAACGAAGTACATTTTTGGACAGACAGTCAAACGGTTATCAAATACATTCGCAACGAAAAAATGCGACATCAGGTATTTGTGGCAAATAGACTAGCTGTGATTCATGATGGTTCAGAAATTAATCAGTGGAACTACGTGCCTTCTGAACAGAATCCAGCGGACCATGCGTCTCGTGGACTCTCCGCATTAAATTTAACTCAAGTTAATTGGTTAAGTGGACCAGACTTTCTAATTAAGCCTAAAAGTGAATGGCCAGCGGAAATGCCGACATGTGACAATTTAGATATTATATCCATTGATGTGAACGCGGTAAAGATTAGTCAAGAGGCTAACAGTGTTGTGAATCAAATGTTTGAACATTACTCAGACTGGACAAAATTAAAAAGAGCTGTTTCATGGTGGCTAGTTTAAAATCCATATTAAAGCTGAAAAGTAAAAGTAGAGAAATTCCTGTTAGTTTGAGAAGTGAACGATTATCTGCCGACGAGATGATAAATGCAGAGCATGCTGTTGTAAGATTTGTACAGTATAGTGCTTTCCCTGAAGAAATCCAGTGTTTACGTGACGGTGAATCTAACGTGAAATCAAATAGTGTTCTTACGGACTTAGACCCAGTGTTAAAAAACGATTTATTGCGCGTGGGAGGAAGGTTAGAGAATTCCTCATTGTGTTATGATGCAAAGCATCAGATTATTCTACCAAAGGATAGTCATGTTTCAAGGTTAATATTAAGATATTGCCATGTTAAAGTAGGTCATCAAGGTCGTAACCATACCCTTGCAGAGTTACGTCAAAGTTTTTGGATAATTAAATCTGGTGTTCTCCGTTCTCGCGGAAAGTATATTGCGAAAATGTGTAGTGTGTCGTAAAATACAGTCACGAGTCGGTGAACAAAAGATGACGAATTTACCGTCTTCTCGCTTATTAGCTGATGAACCAGCATTTATGCATGTTGGGATTGATTATTTCGGTCCGTTCGAAATTAAAGTAGGACGCTCCATGAAGAAAAGATATGGTGTGATTTTTACTTGTTTTTCGTCACGTGCAGTGCACATACATGTAGAAACTGCCAAGTCGTTAGATACTAGTTCCTGTATTGCAGCTATTCGTCGTTTCATTGCTCGTAGAGGCTACCCGAAAGATGTGTACTCCGACAACGGAACAAATTTAGCGTCCTGTAACAAAGAATTTAAAGAAGCTATTCAAGCCTTGGATCAAACTCAGTTGAACAATTTCAGTGTCAGAAATCATTTTAATTGGCATTTTAATCCCCCCGCTGCTCCACCAAGGCCTGAGGCGGCAGTTGCTGGAGGGCCTATTTAGTTTTTAAAGTTAGAGCCAAGGTAGTTGCTAACATTATAAACGTAATGTAACTTTATATGCCCATAAATGACGTCACGTGGATACAATATATTAAGCAAGACATAACCGAAAACTTACAAGGATTTAACGTACATTGTAGGCCTACGTTTAAAAAATAAGATCAGATCTCCAAACAATAGGGCCTATTTAAAATGGCGTGGGCCTAATTAATTTCGGGTCAGGGCCTATGTTAATTCCCGTTGGGCCTAAACCCCACCCCCCTAACATTCATTGTCTATGCGTTTTTAATCGTATCAGACAAGTCTAAAAATATTTTTTTTACAAAATCTTTGGGCCTGAGGCTGCAGCCTCATCAGCGTCACTGATAATCCGCTACTGACCGCATTGTTGTGGTAAATATGTGAATCGTGAATTAAACTTTTGTGAATATGATCAGTGAAACCCCGTGAACATTTTGTGAGCAGTTAATTATGTGGTGAACTCTTAATTCTGTAATTTAGTCATTCTAGTGAAACCCGTGAAGATGTGACTTTCTTTCGTGAGTAATTGGTGAACTTTTCATATTTATATGATTACGTGAATCCTGAACTAAGATGTTTTATGTTTGTCATTTGTCTACTGTAAACTGTAATTGTTGATCAATACACTGACATTTATTATTTAAAATTGGTGTTTTCTTATGGTGTCATATACAGTAAATGATTTACGAAAGTTGCGAAGCTGAAAGGGACAACCAGCGCGTGAAACGTCGAAACGGAATCTTGCCCACGACCACGTCACCCATAGGCGGATAGTTCCATGTTTACTACTACTAGTATGCTACTTCCAGGTCGTGTATCTCCAGATTTCCATGGACAACCACGCACATGCTTTTGGGACCCCAACCTGGGTAAACATTAGAGTCGACCAAAGAGACGAGAATTAACATTAAAGTCTTTGTGTAAACCCAATGAGGCGTGTGAGCCAGGACAAGGGAGGCAACTCCAATTTAAATGGTTTCAGGCGGCTAGACAGACCACAGATCACAGATTGACTTTAATGTTAATTCTCGTCTCTTAGACCGGCTCTAACTTTTTCCCAAATTTTCGTTGGGTAGAACGCTTTCTACCGCAGATGGAGCAACATGTGGCAACCCCTTGCCCAAAAGCACGTATGAGGTTCACCATGGAAAACTTGAGATACACACGCAGGAAGTAGAGATAAAAAAACATGCAATTTTTGACCCTACATTTCAACCTAACCAACCTCTCAACTCTTGTATCCTTCCGCCTCAAAATCATGAATATTCACCAAAACCTGGCAGAAAATATATTTTCAAACCCTTTTCTTCGACTCGACACCAAAAAGTCAACAAAAATCGCCATGCAAAAGGGGGGAAAAGGGAGAGAAAGACTAAAAATAACTTTCGCCCTACATTCGTGTCCAAATCGCTACATTTCATAACACAAATTGAAAGTAGTATACTAAAAAAAAAAACCCCTCTAACTATTCACCGTACATTCATTCCAACGTAAACGATCTTTTAACTACGTCACGCTTCCGTCTCTAAATCATGAATATTAGTAGAATATAATTTAGTAGAATATAGCAATTCAATGTAACAAGTAGCCCAAAGAAAGTTGTATCAATAAACAACTGAGTACATATTTGGTGGTCTGCATCCATAAACATTTTCTTGGAAAACCCGCATCATCAAAATCAAAATAAGAAAAATGGACAAGAGGCATGTAATAACCACTCTACTACTTTTAATAGCAACAGGTAAACTTCGTTACTGTTATTTTGGGAATATGATTCGCGGATTGCTTTTAAAACGTTGCCTTTTCCTCACTGTATTTTCGATATAGGCCCTATTTGTTTTTTGGTACATTCAGTTAAACTTTATAATCACTTAAATTGTTTCATTTTTTTCAGTTGTGAATACAAGAATAAGTATTACTTCCTCATCGTCATTTCGAAATGGGGACGAGTCGTTAATAATATTTTGTGAGGTATCATCTAAACTTGGATTGGATAAAATCACAAATATTCATCTTGAAAGAGATTCTGTATTTCTTGGATCAATAGATGAAAATGGCACAAAGTTGGGCTCGGAAAAAAGATCGTTTTATTATGAAATTTCCGGCGAATTTCACCCCTCATCTCCTACACGTTCCTATCTACAACTGGTTATTAGGAACCCCATTGCCAAAGATCAAGGCACCTATCATTGTACAACAGTCGGCCTGGAAGTAACACATATAACGGATACTCAACGACAGTATGTCAGACTCGAAGGTACGTAAGAGTTAAATTATAGCTAATACATGTAAATATCACTGGGGTTATATTAAACTATTATTTTATTCCGTAACTTAGCAACTGGGGTAAACTGCTTACGTGTTGTAAATTAACCAATATTGTGGCCAACACTCCAAGTCGACAAATTAACTTGCAAAACGCACCTTGTCCATTATACTTCGTTTCATTTTGACGATTCGTGAAAGGGTTAAAATCGAAAGTAAAAATTAGATAGGGTTTTCCCAGAAAATGTTTATATTGGATGCAGACCACCAAATACACACTCATTTGATTACGGATAGGCCTATAGTTTTCTTTATATTCAAAACAAATATCAAGACCATTATAATAGAAATATTTGGAATGTAACAAAACTATGATCACGTATGTAGCCTACAGTTAGAATTTAGAATAAAATTTGCCTCCTTTAAGATAATATGCAGACCCCTTTCATGTAAGTAAAAAAAAAAACAAAAAAAAAACAAAACATGTTGATTTTTCTCCATTAAAGGATCGATACCTTATTAAGTGCTGTAGAATACCTTTGCAAACTACAAAGTTTTGATCTTTAATAGGAGTATCAGTCCGAAATGGTTCAATACCGTTCAGTATTTACAAAGTTTTGATAAATTGAAATTTCATCCATCTATGCAGCTAGCTCCTAACAAGACGCCGCCACCTTTTATTGCTAACCGAGAAACCCGATGGGCCTAGCTTTTTATTATCTACCGTTGGTAGTTTTATTTTGTGTTCTTATAAAGAGCTGACAGTTTTCGCTGTGATAGTTAAAATAGATAGCAAAAAGGGAATATATTGAAACTTTCAGTTAAATTACCCCATTTTGATCGGAGTTATGCCCGTTTGAAGACTTGTACAGTATCGATTGTCATTACTACCGGTGTTACGTTGATAAACAAAGTCACGATTATTCATTTTTTAAATTAAATTATTTACTTGCCATCGTGCTTAAATCGGTTGAGGCAAAGCTCGTACATAATGCTTCTTTAAATAATTAATCTTGGTGTATATTACCGTCGATAAACAAAGTCACGATTATCCATTTTTAAATTAAATTATTTACTTGTCATCGTGCTTCAATCGGTTGAGGCAAAGCTCTTTAAGGCTCTTACATAATGCTTCTTTAAATAAATAATCTGAGTATTATATTATATTATTTTAAGGCAAATGCAAATGATGCACCGAGCCTTTAACACACACTAGAAATGAAATGAAATGAAATGGGGTTTAACGTCCTACTGTTCTGCTCCTAACCTGGGCTAATGAAGACGGGCATACGCCATACAGTGTGCTATGAGGGAAATTTTGCCCGGGCAGCGGCACTACGGCCTACTCTTATATCGAATTCTAACTGCCAAGGGATCTTTTACGTGCACGCCAATGTGTACACGGGACCTCGGTTTTTCGTCCCATCCGAACGACTAGACAGCTTTCCTTGTCAGCCCCTCCGTCCGGCATTACTGACAAGGGAGAACCACGCCGGAAAATCTGGATGAACTTTCTCGGCCAATGCAGGGATCGAACACCCGACCTCCAGGCTAGCGAGCTAGCGTCTTACCCACTTAGCCACTTAGCCACGTGATCCCCAACACACACTAGATCCATTTGATTAAATAATTTATTTGCCTAACATTCATTTTTTCCAGAAGATCGACCTTCTTCATCTGGGTGTGTTTTATGTCCCACTTTGCTTACCCCTACTCTGGTTGGATTATTGGCACTACTATATATTACAGTTTTAATTACCTAAACGTCTGGAGATATATAATTTAAGCTCATTCAAATTGTACTCTTATAATTAAAGCTATTGTGTTATTGTTTAAAGAGCTAATCTTAAGACGCTCTAAATTACCAACATGATTGTTTAAAAACTCAAGCACAGTGCAACATCTATATTGTCTACGATATCACCTTAGGTGGAAGTGGACGTAAAACTCCAGAAACGAACGAACGCAACATCTATATTGTTTACGATATCACTCTTGGTGGAAGTGGACGAAAAACTCTAGAAACGAACGAAAAGCAACATCTATATTGTCTACGATATCACTCTTGGTGGAAGTGGACGTAAAACTTCGGGAACGAATGAACGAAACATCTATATTCACTATGGAAAAAAAAATACATTATGTTGTTGAACAACCTTATCTGATTTACAGACTAATTTTACTTTAGGATAATGAGAACGAAACAGCCAAGCGAATAAGCAACCCCCTCCAACCTATACGTATTGTAGTAGAATCTTGATGCACAAGATTCTCTCAATATAGAACGCAACAAATCTACCCGTTCTCGCTACTTATTGAATTTATGTGTTAGTCAAGATATTGTTGTAATTAAACTCTATACCAAGTTTCATTTGTTCGTTCTAGCGGACGTTAAACCCCAAGAACGTCCCATCCGAACGCCTATACCGTGTCCCTTGCCAGGCCCTCGGCCCTGCACCACTGACAATGACGAACAACGCCGGAAAATCCCGATGAAGTTTCTCGGCCAATGCAGAGATCGAACAGCGAGCCAACGTCTTACTCGTTGAGCCACCGTGGTTCCACTAGAACGAACGAATTAAAACTGGTATAAAGTTTAATTACTGATAAACTGATAAACTGGGCCCTTATTCACGAAAACTTAAACTAAGATACAATCGAAATTTTAAGAAATACTGCAATTCGATTGGCTGACCAATATGCAAATTGGATATATGCAAATTGATTTTACTGGTCAGCCAATCGAATTGCAGTATTTCTTAAAATTTCGATTGTATCTTAGTTTAAGTTTTCGTGAATAAGGGCCCAGTTCGATTACTAGATAATTTATAAAAAGATAAATGAGTGTCATCTAATTATGTGCATTAATTAAATTATTAAAACAAAGAAGTCTATCGAGTTTCAACAATTTCCGTGTTCATAAACTATATTTAACTGTAAGTCTATACTAGTTTCCTGCCTAGAATTGTTTGTTATTGCTTAAAGATGCATTATGTAAAATTTAGATGAAGGGCTGGCCGTTATTGCTATAGATAATGCAAATTAATGAATATTATATTGAAAATTTCAGTCAAATTACTTTATTCTCAGCGAAGTCTCGATTTTCCATTTTAACGATTAACAAAAACATGACATACATTAATTTCTAATCCACTTAATGTCTCAGCCACCCGATCGATGGTCTTGAAAATTATTGATTATGCCATGTTAATATATGTCTAAATAAAAAATTATATAAGAATTGAAGCCAGAGGAAATGTCTGCAATAGTCAGATTTAGTTCTTACATAATAAATGCATCTTTGATATATATATATATATATATATATATATATATATATATATATATATATATATATATCTCCCTATTGTTTTATTATAATAGGCTTAATCCCTCGATTGAATAAGAAGTAACTAATAATTGTGCCATAAAGATATGTTTGCCTTTTGATATATTTTTATTATAATATTTTTTACAGATTAGATTTCAATAACACTAAATGATTTTCTGGTTGTTTTCAATTATATATTTTCGTGTATCGAATTATTCAACTTTAACTTGTCAGTGATGCAGGATGGATAGTCTGGTAAGGAACAACATTTAGTAGTTCGGACGGGGCAAAAAATTGAGGCCCAGTGTACACTTTGCTGTGCACATAAACTCACCCTTGATAATTGAAAATCGAAATAAGGCTAACCCGCTTCGTATCTTTTTGTGAAAATTTTCCCCCATAGCGCACTAAGAAATAGGCATAGATGGCGTTTGTTTTCGCAATTGGACGAGTGACATTGCGAATTCACGCATTTCATCAGACGTAAAGCTGTTTTGTTTCAATCAATCAACAATTGAGATTCTTGTAGACCAGCGGTTCTCAACCGTTTTTGCCAATGGCACACCTTGGAACACATGATAAAATAGCGGCACACCTGGCTAAATATATAATGAAAAATATTTAAATTTTGCAAAGTAAAAACATGGCAAGTCATAGACAGCATACAACCGTAGACACAGACTAGTTTATAGACACATAGACTCAAACAAAAAAAAAAAAGAAAATCACAGCTGTGAACATACAGTAGACACCAGTGAATACTCAGTTGGGGTCACGTGGTTTTTCGCGGCACACTAAGGAAGATCTCGGGGCACACAGGTGTGCCACGACACACTGGTTGAGAATCACTGCTGTAGACCTTATGATTACGCGCGGTCATTTTTATACGCCCACATTTTCATGTGGACGTATATTGTCGTCGCCCCTGTTTGTCTGTCCGTCCGTCCGTCCGTCCGTGAGGACGTCGGCAAACAATTTGTTTGTGGACACTCTACAGGTCACAATTTTTATCCGATGTCAACGAAACTTGAAATATAGCCTTATCTCCCTAAGATCTCGGTTCCTTTCGATATTGGCATGTATCGGACCATAACTTCATGGATTATGGACTCTGATTGTAGAAAAATTGCATTTTTAGCTTGTGGACACTCTAGAGGTTACAATTTCGATCCGATTTTGATCAAACTTGAAATGCATGTTTATAACCCAAAGATCTTGGTTCCTTTTGATATTCGCGCATATCGGATCGTAACTTCCTGAATTATGGTCCTTGATTGATTGAAAAATCACATTTTTAGCTTGTGGATTCTCTAGAGGTCACAATTATTTTTTCGATTTTAAAATCCGTTTAGATCACTATTCCACCATAATGAAGGTTGAATTGGAATTTTTGGAAAATCGAAATGAAACTGCCGACAAAATGGCCGCTCTTTGTATGCAAATTGTATAATAAGTATGTAATTCAAAGGTTATGGACCCTCTAGTGGTCACAATTTTTATCCAATTTTGATGGAACTTAAAACATATCTTTATATTCCAAAAATCTCAGTCCCGTTTGATATTTGCGCATTTCAAACTATAACTTTCTGGATTATGACCCCTGATTGTACAAAAACTCGTTTTTGTTTTTAGCCTGTTCTCTATCCATCTCTTGCAAAATGTGGGCGTATCTTGCCTGACTAACATAGAGTTCAATATCATTTTAATAATTCATATGCACGTAGCAGATGGTGTAGTAATAATATTATGACCATGACTAATAGTTGTTTATAGATTCTTGGTCAAGCTAAATAACACCTGAAATAATAGAAATCTACATGAATTGAACTATAGGTTAATAAACACATTTGTCATATGTCATCTGCATGGTCAGGAATGGAATGTGTCTGTTGACCAAATTTAGTAATAAGTGCCTCCCAGAGTGTAATGTATCCCTATTCCATATTTGTAAACTGGAACCGTGGTAAGTCTATGACGTAAACCAATTAAGGTGTTGGCACTATAAAATAGAATTGGGGGGGGGGGGGTAGTATTTGGAGATCTCACACTGCCTGACATATCAGTCATTTACTGATTAGAGAGCGAAGAAGATTTGTGACTAATGCTAGAAGGTTTTTTCTATATAAAATGGAAAGAAATAAAACCTGAACTGTAGTTATAATTTTCATTACGGTAGTGTAGACAACGTGAAGCTGAAAGATCGAATAGTATAACAATGGGCGTGGGGAACCAGAGGACCCGGATAAATCTCGGGAGGTTGGATAGCCGACTCTATACCCTTGTACAAGTGTGGGTTCGAAACTACGCCACTTGACTCAATGACAGATCTTATGACCTATATAGCACGCGTTACACCATTCGGTCAATTGGCAACTGTGATATATTCATTAAGTTTAATCAATATCCATTTATTGTGTTTAACAACTTTTTATTCAATAGGTATTTGATATAAGATTGACATTGGCCCTCTTCATTCAGATGGTTTACACAGAACTAGAATATACCTTTCTAGCAGCCATTTTAACAAATTCAATTAGTTTACCCATTAAATTATATCTCAAAGTCTCCTTCAATTAGAAACAGATCAAAAAGAAACTAAATGGAATTAGGTATCCATACATCTTAGGCCTTAGGCCAATACCACAATCGATATAATTTCTATACATTAACTAAATTAAATCTACTTTTTTTCAGGCTATTTATATTAATTAAATTATGTAACTCTATAATCAATAAGTTTTATTTATACTATTCAAAAAAAGTAGGGGATATTTGATTTTTAAGTGTTATTAAAGTCACCTAATGAAACTGACGAAGAAACAAATGACAAAATGAAATGAAGTTCACATTCATCGATTTATTCCAAATGATCGTTAGACTAAGTAAGGCACAGACTGACCATTATAAGGGTAAAATGATACCCGGGGTCAAACAGCAAAGTTACCACAGCATCACAACCAAGTCAGTAACGGGTAAATCCTCCTCTGTTTGCCAAACAAGCATTGATCCGACGTGGCATACTCCTAATGAGACGTCTAAGGTCATTTTGGTCCAGATTGTCCCATTCCTGTTGCAACGCAGCAGCAAGTTCTTGGACATTGGCAGGACGTTGTTGATGTTGACGTAACCTCTGTCCAAGCATGTCCCAGACATGCTCGATGGGGGAGAGGTCGGGACTCAGTGCTGGCCAAGGTAATGTGGTGATGTTCTGTTGTTGGAGGTAACCTGTAACGATCCTGGCCCTGTGACATCTTGCGTTGTCATCCTGGAAGATGAAACGGCGGCCATGACGTCGTGCGAACAGCACAACATGGACTGCCAAGATGTTGTCCCGGTAGTACTGGCCTGTAACACGCCCTGCAACAACATGTAAAGCCGTTCTTCCAGCAACAGTGATGCCTCCCCACACCATAACAGAACCACCCCCAAATCGATCATGTCTGATGACGTTAACGTCTTGGAAGCGCTCGTTTCGACGACGCCACACCCTCCTACGTCTGTCCAAAAAATCAACAGTGAACCTTGACTCATCTGAAAACATCACATTGCTCCAGCGTCGATTATCCCAGTGTTGACGATCCCTACACCAACGACGTCTTGCCTGAATGTGATGATCTCTCAAACAAGGGATCACGCGAGGACGTCGGGCGCGAAGGTGACCCCTATGCAGTCGATTCCGAATCGTCTGGCCACTCACTCTCACACCAGTGTCTGTTTGAAGACGAGCGCTGATCTGATTTGCTGTGATGACACGATTTCTCAAGGCCAAGGTACGGATAAATCGATCCTGGGCTTGAGTTGTCGCCCTTCTTCGACCTGAGCGTGGTCTGTCCTGTACAGATTGTGTATCACGGTATCTGGACCATAGCCTGCTTATGACAGACTGAGAAACATTCATCGTCCGCGCCACAACCGCCTGTGTTGTGCCGATCTGTAGCATGCCAAGGGCACGTAACCCTTCATTTTGGGTAAGCCGACGCATATCAAAATTTGTTTTCTGGTCACTAAAACAATTAAACTGATGTTTCCACCCTGGAATTCAATGCCACAATGACTGTAACATTCAAAGTCAGAGTCGTGCAAATCTTGGGTTGGACCCCCATGATGATCCCAAGCATCACCTGCATTCCATGCGGTAGCTATTGGTGCATTTGGGCGTCACATGTAACTGGAAATGTTTCTTCTGTTAGGTTCTATAGTGACTTTTTTCGTAGTCATTTGCATATTTTAGTATTATGCCCCCAAAATCAAATATCCCCTACTTTTTTTGAATAGTATATATTTACAAATACTGGTTTTAAATAATTACAAAAATCAAGCAAAATAGGGTTTAACTTTCAACTCT